GTGCATCTCCGACAAGATAAGATCACTCTACCAGAAATCTGTCATTGAGTAAGCTTCTTTTGAGGCTTTTGCCAAGTTTTTCATCTAACATTAGCACACATCACCCCAAAAGAGGCATGATTACCCGGCCTATTTCGATAAGCGACGCAGTTTGTAACGTGCAACGTTAAATTTTTTAAGCGATTGAGAGACAAGGTCAGCTTATCAAGCCAGGCTTCGCTCTCAATCTCCGCAACGTTGTGGATGAACGCGCTCCACGCCTGGATCATCGAGGGACCATTACGTGGTTTTGCTGTAAAATCGATGTTTAAAGAATACATCGATACAGAACTCACGCTGAGTGCAAACGTTTCCCGCACTACATTCAAGGTCACGTAGCCTTGGTATGTTGAAAAGCCCCAATCGATTACGATCGCTTGACGTGTCAAGCAATCTATCCAACACTCTCTGAGGAGGCAGCCACACCTTCGTCTTTCAAGCAACGAGCAGTACGTCCGATCTCAGGATTCCAGCGTGGTGTAAATAGAAGTACCGACACCACATCTATGACGATCGTCTTTATTGTGACGCATTACTGCGTCACTGTCATCATAGTTCGACTGTCTCTTTCCACCGTCTTGATTGCATCTTTCGAATCTGTCGTAATGGCAGCCTTCGTCCACTCGGTGTCGCCATCCGACTCGCCAGAGTAAATCAGCTCAAGGTCAAAAATTTTGAGGACACGCGGTGCATCACCGCTTGAGCCTGCAGTAGAAGTAGTGGCAGGTCATTTTTAGTCTAATACGTTTAAGTCCTTTGTCTCATCCACCTTAGCGTATTGTCGTCTCATCGCTGCGTTACCAGCAGCTTTGTCTGCACACCGCATGGAGTTGTAAACCATGCGGGGGTTAAAGGTATGATTGGACTAGACCAACAATTGCTTCGATTTCCTAACGTCACTCATAGAAGTCATTCATTTATCGATCAGTCACTAAAGTAACTGATTCTTAAGGGAGGTGATGTAACGGGGTGCCTCTGTCACATGATAGTTGACACAAGGTAAACAATAAATACGGATATTTGATCTGGACAAACAAAATATTCGCACAGTACCGGCTGAATGGGTTATACTGTATTGCAGAAGTAACCCACTGCTCCTTGGTTGACTTAGATCAACGGTATCAGCCAATAAAGCCGAGAAACGACAGAAGAACGCAATGAGTGGTGAGAAGATGGTAACAATACGTGTTGTATTGAGGTATAGTTTAATGAAGACTAAATAGGATTTATTGATTGGAGATTAACTATACTAAATAAATTCTATGTTTAGCCTTTTCTCGTGTTAAACCCTTCCTCTGCACGACGAGTGTACGTGAAGTCTCGAGGCACCCCTTACTCTGTTTTCAGTGCATGTAGCTTGTACTGTTACAGTTTAAGTGGCCTGTGCCCGTTACACGTCAAGCCCATCGTCAGGATTTGCAGCCTTCTCATTATCACCCCGATCATCGCATGCGTTCATTATGCGAGAGGGCGATGCCGTACCTTGCCAGGGTTGCTCGTCGTGGTGACCATCCTAGATTGGTTTTGTCAGCCACAGATAATGTAATAGTGGATAAATTGGTGTTGAACATGAACAATGGTTCCCCCTTTTCTTTCTGCTAGGCGCTGGCTTGAACGCTGTCTGCGCCGCCTACTCTGCCGCAGCTTTAGGCTGCAGCCTCTTTGCAGCCATTGCCTGAATCTCCGCGAGACTGGAAAAAGGCTTGGCGAGATCATCGATCTCCCTGACGTCCTTTTTTGTGGTGACTAATTCTCCCGTTAGGATGACGTGTTAGGTACATCTAGCGTTACACACAAACACAACATGTTACGAGCCACATCGCACTTAGCACTACGAGTGAGGAAAAGATGGCGTTATAGGTGACGCAGTAATTCAAACTTAGCGACGCGACGGCCAATGCTTGGCCGATGATCGGCAGCAGCCAATCATAGGCTGAAGCTGATGTTTTTTAGCTGTTTGGCTTGTGTAACAAATGGGTCAGTTTATGGCCGTTATACGCGTCAAATACAGGTTGACTACATACTGCAACAACGAACATTGAGAAAAGGAAGTTCTATAGCTAAGACTATCGCGCAAAGACTGTCAGTTCCTATGAACGCGGTATGTCGTGGTACACGATTGAGAATTGTTTTCCACAATTTAAGAAAGAACTATCTGCTGTATTGTCGAAAGGGCCATTTAGACTAGGGTTATTAAACTTCTCTTTCGTCCAAACGAAGCTTGAATCTTGTAGCCCTCGGACGTCTCCGTGTGTAAGCCCTTCAAGACCAGCCTCCGTCGCTTTATGGAAAGATTTCTGATTAATGAGGATGTGTCAAACTTGACTAAGAAACAGGTATCTCACGAGCATCGAGTGCGTGGCAAAATATGTGCTTGCCAAGTCAGATAATCTTATTTCTGTCTTAGCAAGAACTAGTCTTTAGCCAATCTCAGCATCTTAGATGCGTTCCCGTAACGAATACACGCCAAAGGAGGTGCTAAGAACGGACACTAGCAACCCGATAGGGCTCACAGTGCGGCAGAAGCTCCGCACAAGGGTACTCTTACTGCCTAATACGTCAACTGAAGGCAAATATGAGCACAAGAAAGTTACATGCTTGATCGCATCATGACTTAACTAGAGTTGCAACAGATCGCGTTATACTCATAAGTCTTTATAAGATTTGCTAACGACCATGAACTTACCCATTGATGAAAAATTCAGTAATATTATTTTAATTTTTTATGCCTCCTTTTGCCTCTTTGCTAGTTGTATAACTTTCTTCTGAAAATAAAGAGGGCAAGGTATGCTGCAACGAGTAGCTACTTTCCTATAGTTACTGTTGAGTTTTTCAGAACAAAGTAAACGAAAAACAAAGCAGCAATGAATTTTATCAGGGGAATACAAATCCCGGCCATAAACTGGTCTCGTACCTTAGCGGTTTTTTACACACATACATGCATGCAGCCAGACAGTAAGTTCTTAAGTTCGGTGTTCTCTTTGCACACAGACATAACAGCTTTACCCTTCGGGCTCTCAATATCTGTTTACTCGGTTGGGGAGGATACAGCGTTGTGCTTAGTTTTTAATAATTTTATTACGATTAGCCTCGATTCATAACCTCAAAAGCAATGATAGATGTCATCAGCCGTGTTTATGGGCGAGCTTGCTCCCCACTCTTTTTCCGAGCTGTGGTGGAAACTAACCCGGACGTGCTTCATGCTACCAAAATTAGGTTTTTTTTCCTGGGTACGTAACCTTTTCCATTCGAATCATCAACCGCCGACTGTTTCGTCAGTACTCGTATCTGAAGTCAGCTTTTTATTTATCGCTGACCTAAAAAACGACCGACCGTTTCGCGTCCCTACACAAGAGCAAAACAGATCAGTCACGGCAATTTATCATGGAGCAAACGCTTTTTGATCGCACCTTCTTGATTGGTTTGCCGCTGTAATGATAAACATCCCCACATGCCCATGACGATCATCTTAACAGTAATTGACGAAAGCACGAAGACGGTGTCGCAGTTGTAGCTAGGCTCATCTAGCATCTCAACAATCTTAGACCTGCGTATCTTGTAGTACGTACTGTACTGACAACGAGTAGTCTGCTGTTTCGTCCATCTCTTTAATGTGAACCATGTTATAACGATCTTCTTATCTACGAACAAAGACAAACAGATTACATGTACACGCTTCATCCCTATGAAATGGACTCGTACAGACGTGCTCAAGTCAATATCACGCGGCGGTCCTTTTACTAAACTACACCTATTTTCTCATGTTATTTTCGTCGACAACTACAGGGACGTCCTACACGATATTCGATCATTCAGACGCCCATCTCAGACACTTAGTGATTGTCGATCCAGTATCAGCTTGTCGACTTCTCTGGTTCAATCGTAGATGCAAATTTACTTCTGGATAGTGCAGAAATACCAATCGTAGAACGAAGGTACTAACTGTGGTCGCTTCACCCTGAGTGGTCTAGCGTCACGAGTGGAGGTGATGTGTGCGGACTTAGGATAGGTATGCATATAGCATTCACGTAGCCTGCTGTACGTCACCCTTGCTTTTCATCATTACTAATTATTGTTTTTTTTAAGAAAACTGGACTATTCGCGTCACAGCTGCTGCATCATGTTACAGAGCTCCATTGAGTAGATTCCCTCTGTAAGAATTATACTTGCGGTAAGCGGTACCGATCAACACCTAATAGAGTCCCGCATAGCGCTGTGCCGATGGGCATCCACGCTTTGTTGATCCCTACATGAGTTTCTTGATGCGCTGCTGAGTCTTGTATGTGTCCGGTAATCAGCTTGCAAAACTGCCCGCTAAGCTAAAAGGCTAGGAGCTTCCAACGAATACGTCGATAATCAAATCTATCGGTACATCTAGAAACCCCGGGGCGCTGATGAAAAACTAAAGTGAGCATTGCGAGAGAATTCACGAAGTAATGCATAACTACATGTATCATGTTACAGTTGTGCGTACAAAGAATTCGTCACATCACCCTCGGGTCAACAAGCGTACGAGGCACCTTTCCAATTATTTCGTTGTTTGATCTTGAGATCCTGGACCATGGATTTGCCCAATTCTTAAATGCTCATGCCTTTTTCCCGGATTTAGTTTAGCTTAAACATTTTTACCAGATGCGGCCAAGCGACTGCGAGGAGTACGGACAACGACAAGATCGGACAAATTGGTTGCCATGTCGTCATTTTGTGGACGTCTGTAAGCGCATTCTTGCCATATCATTTAGTGCTCCTGTATTATTTCTTTAGTGATGTTACAAAATCGATCGTAAACATCTTATGGACTTAGCATGATGCAATAGAATACTCTGATCGTACGCTTAGCATAGCTTTAGCAAAAGCTTACGCAGTGGGAAGATAAGAACAACCAGCTTAGCACGTAAGGTTGTTGATCAATCGAACGTGCACTTATTATGGTGATGTGATGTACGACTACAAAGCTCCGTCTAATCTCGTGGACTTCTATAATACAAGGACGACGCGAGCTCTTGCTGTCTGGCGTGGATTTTCTGTACGAGTGCCAGGCACATAAATTGCTTACGCGAGAGTTTCCGTACTTCCTTTAAAAATACGGACAGCTCAATCTCGTCATTGCTCAAAACGCGGTCCATATAGTAGAGCACATCGTCGATAGAGTGACTTTCTGCTAGCGTTGTGATCATTCTGGACAGACACACAGTCACATTAGTTTCTTCATCTTGTTGTAAACGCCAATTGAGATAATCAACGTACTGTTTAGAGAGGTCATCGCCTTCGACCAAAATGGCGTCGGGGTCCAGTGCATCTTTGTTCTCGTTCTCTTCGAGCCACACACTGATACTTTCATCCTGTGCGTCCAAAATGCCTTGTGCGCGAGTCAGGTCGTCACGCAGAAAACGCAATGACTGCAGGCCACGTTCGACGTTCTCGCGCGACTGTGTGAGCTGTACTTCATGCTCAAACTGAAGATCGATGTCATCGCGGACATGTTTGAAGTGTTTTTCCAACTGCATCTGAATCTTTCGTGTCACCTCAACCTTTAGTGCAGCAGCACGGTCTTCAGGTCTCATGCCGTTCGACATCCCTTCCGATGCGTACAATTGAGATCCCGATACTGACGACCCTCTTTCGACTGATTGCGCACTGCTTCCAAACAGCAAATTGGTATCATAAGCGCCCTCAGAAGACAATAGATCCTGTCTCGACTGGGTCTTGAATTGTGGAATATAATACGGTGATGGCTGTGGTCTTCGTGACTGCGCCTGAGATCCACGCTGAAAATAACCTCCCGTGCTACTACCACCACTTGACACCGACGTAGAGCTGCCGTCAAGTCTATCCTGGTGTGGCATCGGTCTGGATGTCACTGGTCGCCGGAAAACGGGCGGTATGTTGCCAAAGAGGGAGCACATGTGGGCCACCAGCTCCAATAGGGTAGAGTCTGGCTGCCAGTCTACAGTATACGGGATCTTGACGAATCCGTCGCTGGTCACGTGCGGGTGTCCAGGCTTCACCATCATATCCGCCGTCGGACGTACAAAACAGACAGGGGGAGCCATGGGGTACGCTTCAACGATCCATAATTCCACTGGAATATTGTACTGATTGTCCCGATAGAAGATCGGAATCGTTCCTTCCAGATTCAGCAGTGTACTGGTACTTCCGTCATTGTAAGCTGCCAAAAAGCACCATGACAAAAACAAGAGATGCGATCCCACATCGTTTTAATCAGCATCCTAAGTGCTTGGTGACGAGGACTAACAATCAGCAGAACAGAACGACGTATAATAATAAAGAACACGTAACTGGTGAGTAACTGACGTACCAAAAGTACCGCAATTTGGCCGCAGTGACGGAATTTGGCCCAAAAGATTGAACACGTCTCCACGGACACGAGCGCTTTGCTACAATCAAACAACCACAGAAGAAGACCAGCACAAAGTGGACACGTCGGCCTCATTGAATGGATACTGGACTGAGTTGAATGGGTTCGGCATGGAAACGCACATAGTAACACGGTAGAGACGACAGGATCCGGTCCAGATTGCTCACGTTGTTGGCATACATTCTCAAGACGGCAGAAGTGCGTGGCCTCTTGGGTTCTTGTGCAATGTTGCTCGAACGCAGGCCCTTCGAGCGACATGCATTGATCTGCTGACGATTTTCGCTTGGGGGACCTCTCTGTCTGGCTTGGATACAAAAAGCGGTGAGAGGTGAGCTGGTAATACCAATTTATGGTGCATGACGAGGTTGCTCGACTTATGTCGTCCAAATGTACGGAAAACTGACCAAGTTTTTGATATGTTGTTGTTGCGCAGGCTGACATTGCGTCGGACTGAAAACTAAACGGCCTCATTTCTTCAGACTAGCAATCGGTGTGTCTTGTTTTGTCCACACAGCTTCTGCTTATAATGCTTTATTACCATAATCAACATCATCTGAGTCATCGTGTCCCAGAGACTTTTATGTTTAGTGTCGGAATTAGTATGCATTGCCATAGCGACCGACCGATAAATGGTTGCTTTTTTTTCGTGTTGGTCGTCTGCACTGCTCGCAATGTGCTTTCCACTGCAGAATGTTCAGCTTTAGACGCTTGCAGATCTACAATGCTGTCCTCATCGTCTGTTGGCTTTCTGTGACGCCTAACTGCGACCAGCCTCACGACGGTGAAAGACGTATAGCAGAGGCCATACGTGCATAGCCTTGATATCCATACGTCTTCCAGTGTCTAAGTCGTGTAGCACGAAACGTGCTTGAGGATTTCACTCTGTGCACATCCTTTCCTGACTAACCTTACCTGTCACTTGATGAGTTAGGCTTGCGAGAATTTGTTCGGTGCTATCTAATGCCTCATGTGATCTTATGTCGCGCGAAATGTGCCTCCAGTATTGAAGCCGCTGCACGACCTTTTCACGATGCTATGCGAGTCAAGATAAACTGCTTTTCGTTACCCGCATTGCTACAGCTTATTCATCGTTATCCTTACTGTCACCATGTGATTTCTCACTTTGGCTTGCATTGCATTCAAATAATACAATGGACCTCCGTTTCCGCTCACGCGCTTAATCATCGATTTCACTGACCTCCGTTAGCAATTATCAAGTGACATCGAGAGAAATCTGAGTAGGCACTAGCCGAGATAGTATAGCGAATTTTTTTGCGAGCGGTTGCGTCATCAGGCTTCAGCGCTATTGTTCCCACTGTCTTTCGAATCCGTACAACCAACGGCAACGGCGAATAAAAATCACTTTTTCTTCGCGTGTGACTAACGACAATGTCAAGGCATTGCTATCACCAGAGTTTCCGTGTTTCTCGCATCCACGAGAATGTTAACATAGCGGGAAAACAGGTATGCCAGAATCCCGCTGGATCGCACGTGGGCCGGGCATGGTGCAATAAAGTGTTAGTTGCACGCATTAGTAAACATACGACTACGAAGATACTTCGCATCCAATCCCTTAGCAGCCGGTGGACCTACGCCATTGCGGTCCTTAATACTTTGCTTGAGCGTTCTTATCGCAACCTGGCACCGATGTTAGGTTTGGACGAGCACACTGCAACTTTGACAACCTTACGTGAAAGAAATGCTTGTGCACGGCGTGTCAATAGACAACAGCTAAGTATGCCAAGCACTGGGAAGAATGGCGTGTGTACTTACACGCGATAAACGAATCATAGGCTGAGGTGGTAGTATGCATCGTTGATGACTGTGAAATGAAACGGAGGTTGGCAGCAGTGTAATATGCGGAGAATTGGGGATACTGCTACGTTGTGTGCGGATGAATGACTGGGGAATGACTGAGAAAATATGTGTTGCAATACTAGAAGATGACGTACATGTTGGTGCTACAAAAGAGATGGACACGATGCTATCAGCAATCATTTACAAGCAGTTGACGAGCAAAACAAATAGCGATAACTCTGATTCGCTCAGATCAAATGGCGTGACAAGGGATGCCATAGACACGTCCGTGAGACGGTGCAACGGGGAATTAAACTGCTTTGAGATCACCGAGATAGTCATTGGCACACAAGAAGGATACGTCGATTCTAAGAACACATTTCGAAGGACGTACGACCATTTTACCGATTGAACAAGTGCGGGATCGTGCGGAGGCTGCTGAAAAGGAACCAAAATTACCAGTTCCAGCTTTAGACCCTCGCACAGGTGAAGAGCGCGATAGTCGATCATGTCATAAACAATGATCGATTAATCTCAGTCAACTATGATCCGCGTCCAGCACGCGTATCATGAGAGCTCGACTGATGCAGCTGTTCGACTTCCAAATCTAGGTGCAAACCGACTTGCTGAGATCCTATTTGATTGCTGCAACAATCGACATCAAGAGGACTGCAAGTGAACAGTTATCTTGTGATTACATTGCTACGGGTGTTCCGTTGTAATTCCTGGCACCGCATACCCAGTCACGAGTAGTTTGAGCTCAGCTGTGGCCAGTAAACTCCGACGTTGTGGCCGGATACCACAGCAATATCTAAAACGAATCGCCCAGTCATGCTTAGTAATACGAAGCTGGAACACCGTAAAAGCTCTACATCGACATCTTTATTGCAATATTTACAGAATCGCCGTACAATAGCTGTTTGCTACTTCCAGTCAATGATAATCTCAGAAGGTGGCAGCGATATACGCGGCAATCTAACAGAAAAGCAGTGGTCTGCACAGCACCTGCACACTGACGTCAGACGGAGCACGACGTGATCATTGCGAGCTCCCGCTCGTCTGCCGCTCCCCATAAACGTGCGCCATAGCAGGTCCAAGTGCAAGTGACGTTGGCCAAGATCTCGACATGGCCGGGCCACTGGACGAGGTACTTGGTAACCCCCGTCCACAGAACGGCCACTCGATCGTGTCGGTGCGATGACACCAGCCGCCCAGTCTTCCCCGGTTGAAGTCGATGACGTCGCAATATTCTGCTCCCTCCAATGTTGCCGAGCAACAACGACAAAAGGAAACTTGTTGCAAACGGAAACTTGCAAAGGCAACATGCCACAGGGACAAACCACATCAGATATATACAGTCTTACTATTACCTTCAAGTACTCAGGTGACCTCTCTCTCTTGCACGCACCCTTGTCGACCGACTCAAACCCTCTGCCAGCCAAGGTCTGCGGTCACCAATAGACGGACACGAATGTAGGCACATACTAGGGGCATCAAGTAGGGGTGAAACACCATGACGCTGCCCAGCACTGTCTGCATTCACGGCCACGGGCGTCGTCCAGGAGTAACTTGGCACTGCTACCTGCTCGTTTGACAAATGCCATGACTTTAGAGTGCAAAGATCCCCACGTGGAAGGTTTTTGCACGGACAAGCAAGCAGTAGTTAGCGCCTCTGCAATTGCTACAACGTAGTCGGGACGATCGCCCGGCTGCCCATCCGGCACCGACGTGTTTGACAGCCGTTGGTTCATCCGTGATGATAAGGATGCGGCGGCCCGTCAAAACGGTAGTAAACACACGAGTGCGTAGCGGAGGATCGCAAGAGCGGGCAGAGCTACAGTATGTTATTCCCTCCTTGTCCAACTAGTCTCTCTCTCTCTCTCTCTCTCTCTCTCTCCTCCTTTTCCTCCTCCTCTCGACGTGGGCGAAAGACACACAGACACTCACGAGCTTAACACACACACAAACACACGTGTCACTCCCTCACGCCATCACTTGTTCAAAAGGCGCAGGACCAGAACATGCGCGTCCTGTTCAGCCGGACGCTGTACGTACCGACGCACGCCCCTTGCGCCCATCACGTCTAATCGTCTTGACGTGTTCATCCGTTTCCATTGCCTTCATTAAATACCTCTCCGCGGGCCTCTGCACGAGAGGGCCGAGGTTAGTCAGTCAGTGCTGTTGCTGCTGCTGCGTGTACATGAGCGAGTGTCCACTCGACTTCAGTAACGACCCACACTCTCTGCACATTCACTCTCTCCTTCCCTTTCCCCTGACCTCATTCGTTTCGAGAGAGAGAGAGGGAGGTAAGAAACCCAGACCTCCTGGCTGCTACCACCGTTGCACTCGGTCGCTTTCGCTCACTTGATGACCGCAAAGCGCTCGCTCTGCGCCAGCAACAGCGAGTCGCTCGCATCCTTTTGCTCCGTCGCGTCGTAAATATTCACATAGTAGCCCTCGGCAATGGGCATGCCCCAGTACACGCGCCGCCAGTGGAACGTGCCGTCGTTCCCCACGCGGTGCGCAATCGTCGTGGGGACCGTCCACGCCACGTTGCACACGTCAATGCGCACGCACTGAACACTTGGATCCAGGGCCTCCCACTGCACGTCAGCAGCTTGGCCGCGGACCCACCCCGAGAAGGGCGGGCCGTCGGGCATTGTGATCCGTAGCCGCTGGTTCAGCGGCCGTCCAGCAGTAGTTGCAGTAGCTGTCGTCGCTTCCCGGAGCTGCTCTTGCTCTTCGGAGAGTAGAGACGACGACGACGACGACGACCCGATCGGCGGCGCGTGGTAGATGTGGTGCGAGCGGAAGCCGCTCGAGGCCCGACTCAAGTTGCCGTACGTCTCACTCGTGGACCGTCGTCGACTCCGGCCACGGTGGTGCCGCCGCCGACTGCTGACCCAGAGCGCCGGGATCGCGTGGATCTGATGCGACGGCGTCGGGAGCGTCGCTGCTGTCGCGTCCAAGGGGTGGAGGCCGTCGTCGTCTCCGCTCTCGCCCGAGTGCTCGACCGCGTCTTTGTCCCAATTGCTCGACTGCGAGCGGCACCGGTTTGACTTGGGTGTCGCCCGTCCGCGCCCCATATTGCGAGGCTCGAGACTTCGACCGCTACTGCTATTGCTAGGACCCGAACTGTTACTACCGGCACTGGGCCGAAGCACGGACGCGTTCGGCTCCACGACTAGAGGGGACGGTCCGTTCCGATGATGCGAGGCAGGAGCGCTCCAACACTTGAGGGTCATCCACGACCACGCTCGGCTGCTGTTGCTGTGCTCTGCGTGCTTTGGACGTTGGCTGCACTCCTGTCGTAACGTCTGGAGGCAACTGACGACCCTGTAGTCGCTCTAGTAGGGCTGTGGCCAAGTCAGAATGGAGCCCTCTCTCTCTCTCTCTCTCTTTGTATCGGGGCTAGACAGACGTCCCCTCCCCCTCCACGGCGAGCCGGCAAAAGTCCTAATCGCGGAATGGCAAGACTTTCATGGAGGGAGCCGTAGCAGTGGCGCCATTGCAGGGGAAGGGTGGGCGTTCGATTTCCACTAACGCGACCGCAGCCAGCGTCGCGGCTCTGCACTGACTTGACCCGGCTCTGTGCGTGACCCGCGTCTCCACCCTGCGTCTCCTCCCACGCCCCGTCGCTGGCCACTTACTAAACGCAAGTCAGCGGGCTCAGCGCCAGGCCAGTAGCGCCCGACATACCCTCGCAAAGCTGATTCAGAATGCCCTGTCAGACGTGATACGTGTCAAGCACGGATACCTCCCCCCACGCAGACTAACTTGCGCGTCACGCGCGACTTGCCGCAGGACATTTGATTGAGTAAGTTGTTATCGTTCCAGCACGTAAAGATACGGCCGCAACCGCTACCTATCGAGCAGCGTACAGATCGGAAAAACCGTTTTTCTTTGATTCGCCAGTGGCTCTTCTGCCCTCTGCATGTGCAACGCATCTCTAGCGGCGACGTGCCTTTCGGGAAATCTCGCTGCTAGTGTCGCCTCGGCCAGACGTAAGTCATGGACCTTCTGCGAGCAACAGTACGGATCTCGCCGCAACAGTACGTGCGTCGCTGGCTTTCGAACGCGTAAGTGCCCGCGCCCTTTGCGAGATTTGCGTGGGTCGAGATTGGCGAAACCTCGCCGTCTCGTCTTCGTTTCAGCATTGATGAGACCACAGGGGTTTTCGGCTTGCCTGTAAATAAATTGCTGATGTGATACATTGGCGAGCCTGGCACAGCTCCAGGGCCAGAGAGTGCGGCAGTAGACTCGAAGCGGACCAATTTTCACCCTGGCGTGCGGACTGGTCGCTGGCTCTTGATCATTGCGATGCTGGCAGACCCCGATCTTGTCTTCCCGGTTGCAGTAGCAGAGAGTTAAAGTCAAGTCGCACTTGCCTTTTACTACGAAGTTACCAAGCCCAGCGAATCCGACGCATGGTCTAAATCAGTGAACAATCCTGAAGCTCGGCGAGTCTGCGAGTTGTCCCCCCGCTTTGACAATTGTCAAGGTCCGGTGAAACTGTTCAACGTGTTGAAAGACTTTGAGAGCGACGCGTTTCCCGAGTTTAATACGCGATTTTTCACTCGCTGGGTAACAACCTCCTGATTATTAATACAACAACGTTTGAGCAAAAGATACAAGTTTGAGAGGTGCGGGTCCTTCAGTCAGATCACGATCTGCAGAACGAGACACTACGACAAAGCTTTCGGCCAGCATGGCGACATCGTCGGCGACAAGTCAGTCGGCGGGTCGCTGGCCGCAGGTTGAAGCTGTAGCGATGCGACAGCGGACGCACGTGCACAACGAACCGAATCGGCTCTTCACTGAGAATAGCGAGGTGCATTTGTGTGTAATCACGTGAACCAGGTGAAAGCACGCACTTTGGCCAAAATGCTGCCGTCTCGACCACAGCTTTCGTCCATTGTCCCAACGTGGTCACTCGATAGCGACTCTTCTTAGCGTGCGGTTCCGAGCACGTCATGCACTTCACACCCTCACGTCAGCACCTTGTCCCATGCGTTGGTCAATCCATTCAGACGGGCGTGCGGCGCAAGTCGTCGGTTGTTAGTGTTATCATGGACGAAGCGGTTTCGGACGTCATTCCGTTCGTATACCGTATTATCTACTGGACGGCGCGAGAAGATTTCTCCTTCGTTTGCGCAAAAGCTTGGCAATCGCTTGGCTCGAACGGGCTTTTGGGAGGGTAAGAGAGTCACGACCGGCGAGATGTTGCCGACAGCTGGAAGAACAATTCCACACTTGGTTTTGCCGATTTCAGTTGGCATCGGTGCTGTCTTGGACCGCTGCGTGTCCGCTGCAAGACTACAATCTAGTTGACTCGCCGACCAAGACACCGAGGGTCCGGGCTGACAATACAAATAACGACAAAACAGAGATTTTGGTGAGGTGCTCTCCCCCTCCTCTCTACAGCGTGGGCGCTGTATCTCTGTCGAGATCAAATGTCGCGGTGATGCATCAGTGTTGTAAAAATTCGCAGGATACGGTCCAATCTTTTGAACAGCTCTCGTCGTGCTTGCGTTTAATCTTCACACGCACGTACGTGTGTGTGTAAGATGACACCTGTCCAGTCTCTGCAGAGCTGCAATAGCAGGATTCGATCTTTCCCCGACTCGCCTTCGCAGAATCGCAACAAGACCAAAATAAGAAAAAAAGAAAGAAAAACACGTACCAGCTATCACGGATAAAAATACTCACAACTTCAAATCACAATACTGTCAACAATGACAAAAAAAATCACAATAAAATCACAATACTGTCATCTTTGACAAAACTACCATGTTTGAAAGGGAGCTCTGCGGCACCCACGCACCCCCTCCCCTTTCAGCACATCAACCGCCGATATCCATTCTCACAGGTGCTCCGACCGCGAAACTGCTTCCCTTTTTCCAAGAAAGTGATTACTCCTGCGCCAATTTGACAAGCATCTGATTTATCCTCGATCCCTCTATATTCGAATATCGTCACGTGCGACTTGCCTATCACCATGCTCACACCCACACACCCGCCCGCCGACCACACGCTCTCTCTCCACGTCACTCGCGCCCTCCTCTCCCTCCGCCTAGCCCAGCATGGCGTCCCCGCACAAACGTTCCGAAACAGACTCGCTGCTGCCTCCAGCACCTCCGTCCCCCTCTCCCATCCCAGCCAATAACGATGACGACGAGGCGGAAGAAGACAGTGACACGTTATCGTCCAATCAGGACGTCGTAGCCAGTGACGCGCCAAGTCGGCGATACTTGGCGCTGACGCGCACTGCGTCAGCCCTCCGCTCGCCGTCGTCCATCCTGCGGTCGCCTGCGCCTCGCTATGCACGGCTGGCCTCCACCCCGCAACCGACCAATCACCACCACCGCTCAGCGCTTCCCGTCCATTCATTGGCCATTGAACCCACGTACGGCGTCATGCGGACGCACTCGTTCCCGAGCGATCTCTACTCGGGCGCCCGCTTCTCCCGCTTCGAGATCGAAGAAGCGCTGCGGCATCGCAATGGCACGTCGCTCTTGGACTGGCTCAAGGGCAAAGGCCGGACGCCGTTCTCAGCAGCGACGCGGCACAAAGAGCAGCAGGAAAAAGACGAAGAAAAACGAGCCAAAGCGCAGCATCGCGAGTCGTTTAGTTACGACTTTTTCGAGAGTCGCGTGAACATGCAGCACGACCAGGAACAGACGGAGAGCGGCATCCGCTCGTTGAATATCGCGCGCTGGGTCATGACGTTCTTAGTGGGACTGGGCACGGCGCTTGTCGCGTGTTTCGTCGAGTTTTGGACGTCGTTGTTGTCGACGTTTCGGACCACGACAACGGCGTCGTTTGTTGCTGCAGAAGTCGAAGGGTCCTACAGTTTTGGGGTTGGCTTCTTGGTCTACGTGCTCATTAGTGTGGCTTTTGTGGCTGTGGCAAGCTATTGTGTAGCCATTCTCTGTCCTGTCGCTGGAGGCTCGGGGATCTCGGAGATTAAGGCGACGCTGAATGGAATCAAGATCCATCGAGTTGTCCGGCTCAAGACGCTGTTCTGTAAAGCTTTTGGGATCCTCTTTAGTGTGGCGGGGGGACTTCCTAGCGGCAAAGAGGGTCCTATGATCCACAGTGGTGCAGTTATCGGGGCTGGCTTGTCGCAGGGCAAGTCGTCGAGTTTTGGACTGGATACGAGCTGGACAAAGTTCAAAGGCTTTCGTAACGACAAGGAAAAGCGTGATTTTATCTCGTGTGGAGCTGCTGCTGGTGTTGCGGCGGCGTTTGGTGCGCCGATCGGCGGTGTTTTGTTTGCACTGGAAGAAGGCGCTTCGTTCTGGCACCAGAACCTCACGTGGCGCACGTTTTTCTGTGCTATGGTGTCTGCCTTTGTGCTAAACTACTTTATGTCGTTTATCGAGGCTAGCGAGTCGGATGAGGTGACACCTGACGCGGGGCATGTGTTCATCGGCGGCACTTTGGGTACCCAGACGGGCACATTTACGTTTGGTCAGTTCAAAGGAAGCAAAGCATACGAAGTGCTTGACGTGCCCGTGTTCATTGTGATGGGAATGCTAGGTGGACTCGTAGGTGCTGCATTCAATGGAGCAAACACGGTACTGACCAAGTTTCGCAAGCGTTACGTGACCCACCGTTACCTTCGTTTTGGAGAGGCACTTTTGATCGCTTTCTGCATGGCGACGGCGTCATTCTGGCTGTCATACTACTTTGGCACGTGCAAAGACCTTGCTGGCGACTACAGTGACTCGCTTTCGCGTTTCTACTGTCCGGAAGGTCAGTTCAACGATCTAGCGTCGCTCTTCACTGTGAATTACGCAACGAGCATGAAGCAGTTGTTGCACTTTACGGGTGATGAGAGCTTCACGCCGTTCTCGTTGTGTATGTTTTTCGTCATCTTCTATGCGTTTGCGTGCTGGACCTACGGTATTGCTGTGCCGTCAGGTTTGTTCGTGCCCAGCTTGCTTGCTGGCGCAGCCTATGGTCGTATGTGTGTGATGTTTGTGCACTACATCGGCTTTCCTGTTGGCGCTCAAGATGGAATGTTTGCTCTCATTGGTGCTGCTTGCATGCTCGGTGGCATGGCAAGAATGACCATCTCGCTTACCGTGATCATCCTCGAGTGCACCGGCGTGATCGAGTGGGGTCTTCCCATCATGGTATCCCTGATGGCTGCTCGCTGGGTTGGTAACAGTTTCAACGAGGGTTTGTACGACATCCACATCCATCTGAACCACCTGCCGTTTCTTGAGTTTGATCCGCCATATTACGCTCGCTTCCTGCGTGCCCTCAACATCATGAGTTCGCCTCCGACATGCGTACCGCAGATTGCCAAGGTTGGTGAGATTTACGACGTGCTCAAGAATTGCAATCATGGTGGGTTCCCGGTAGTTGTGCCGCGCAGTCAGGACGCGGCGGGTGGTGGGAAGAGACCTGAATTCGGTGCTCGGCACAAGTCGCCTCGCTTCTCCGGTATCATCAATCGACACCATATGGCTGTGCTGCTCCAGCGCAAAGACTTTTTCGTCGAGAAACCAGAGCCTTACGTTCGCACTCCTGCTGGTGACACGACGCTGCTGTACAACGATCAGTATGCACTGTCGTATCGTGATATGGAGGGGAGCTACCCACGGTATCCGTCCGTTTACGAAATACAGCTGGATGACGACGAGCGGGATTTGTGGATGGATCTCACGCCGTACATGAACCCCACTCCACACATTGTTCAGGAGCAGACGCCCGTGCCGCGTACCTTCCGACTGTTCCGGTCTTTGGGGCTGCGACACCTCATTGTGCTGAATCGACGTAACGAGGTACGTGGTGTGATCACACGCAAGGACCTGACGCCGGCACACCTCAAGTTTTGCCTCGAGGCGCTGAGTGAGGAGGAGAAGCTGCGCATTCAAGGCTATTTCCACCGCGACCGAGCTGGGTCTGAGCGATTTGAGGACGTTGAGAAGAAGCTGATTCGTATCAATGACAACTCCTAACGCCGAGGCCGTCGATAGCAGCACCTGGCAGGACTGGACTGCTACCGCCGGCTGGACTTGCAGCTGGGAAGCGAATTAGACGACGTTAACTGAATACAACAAGCTGTGTGCGTTTACAGAAGGCTGAGAGCAGAGTACTGTTGCAATGACTCGTGCATGTGTCTTGATTTGCCCACCTTTTCTGCTGTTCAGCCACCCGCTTGAATGTTGCGGCGCTTGTGGGAGTGCTGAGCATTGACTCGATACCAGAAGACGTATCAACATCGACATCGCCTGAACAACTTGCTGCTTGCTGGTCAGCACCAAGAAGCAGTTCAGTTCTTAACAAGAATAATAGCCGGCGGGATGGCCGAAAACAAGGTTGGCTGGGTATCAAACGTGTCATCACGGCTAGCGCACTTTTGTCCGTGACGTGGTCGTGCAGCTTGTCGGACAGATCTTCGGGTTTTGGTCGAAGTGATTCCTGCGTATCCAACGTTTCCAACCTCTCCTTGTCGGTTTTGTCCAGGTCATCTAAACTGTCGGCATTGACTTGACAAACCTCTGGATGGTGTCGGCATTGACTTGACAAGCCTCTGGATGGTAATCTTGCGCATCGCCCTTCTGGTCAAGTCCTTAGACTCGAGAGAACATTTGACAACGCATTGTAAGCATTCGAGAAGAGGAGCGACTTATGGACGGCATTGATACAATTATGTACGTGGAGCTTCACTTGGCGCCAGGTAGTCTTCCAGTCGGTGCTGTTGAACCTGTCCGGCTGGCGACTCTGGTCCAGTTTGCCTACCAGAGACATCCAGTCCATTCGTCGCATGGGTATCCACAGTGCGTGCGGTGTGATTGAGACGCAGCTTGGACGCAATCAAAGTTGTGTAGCCCCCTGAAGTGGACACCGTCAAGCAGAGCATGTGAGCAAGCGGAAGCGGCTGCTCTTGCTCTGTCGTTGCAATTGACGTAGGCTCCGTCCGTGAATACACACTGTCGGGCACCGCAACTTGGGTGCGCTCCATGATCCTACGTAGGTGCCGGAACCTGTCTTGCTGCTGGTGAAAACCACCTAGACATAGTCGATACGACGTCTGTCCGTCATCTGGTCGCCGTCTCATGACGAGCAGTTTTTGTCCTTGGGAAACCGTGTGTCTCCTCTGGATCGCCGGACCAGATCCATGCAGAGGTCTCACTTTTCATTTCGCGCTCCCTAGTCGGTGCCACGTCCACAACACGTTGTAGCCAGAATCATGCGAATTCTCTACCTCTTTGCGCTCCCCCTGAGCGGGGTGTTCCTCGTCATTACTAGTTTGGCCACAGGTCTCAAAGAGGTAGAACCCCCTCCGTCTCGTGATCACGCAGTCAAGTCCGAGACTGCCAAGAACGTGCTAAGGACGGATGACTCTCCAGAGGATCGTACCACCAGAATTGAAGGACCTGATGTCGACCTGGCTTATAAGATCGAGGCATTCATGTCCAAGGTTGGTGACTTTCTCATTGCAGTGTGCAAACCACGCATGGCCAGACGACTCCATCGGCAACAAAATCGCGGTCTTTCATCTCCTTCCTCTAGCCTCGCACGGATCGTTGATGATCTTAAAACCGTCTCACCGCCCATGCGTCTAGATGCTGTCAGTATTGAAATGAAAGAGAACGATAACAAGCTCGCTCTCCAGCAGCTAGACGAAGTGAAGCGGATGGCAAAGGAGTACTACCGAGTCGCACCACCAACCAGTTTGGGCCAATTCAGCGAAAGTATATCAGAGCCGTTGAAGGCTCTATATGATCGTCCACATATTACGACTGAGCTATCTCGCCTTCGAGACATGAATATGCACGAGGACGCTGAGACTTTTCATGCTACACTAGAAGATGTGGGAATTGTCCAAGCTGCAAAACGTTTCCGCGCGTGGAAGAGCGATGCACTGAGAAACAAACTTGGGGCACAATGCGAACAGCTGCTGTTCAACTTGTGGATTATGAACGAACGAAAACCTGAGGATGTCCTCGCGGTACTTCTAGCGGAGTCGTCCGATGATCTGAACTTCGCCGTGGACATTGTCGCTCACTACATGGTGCACCTTATTCGCACGAAGGAGCGACTTATCAACAACCCTGTTCGATCAAAGGCTGGATCCTCTACTCATAAGGCTCACACAAGAAAGTGAGCTAGCAGTGTTAATTGCGAGCCCAAAGGGTAGCAGCGCTATTCGTGACTTTGCGTGGAACGGGTTTACGCAAATGGTTGTGATAACCCGATGCATTGGCATGGTGCACATAGAAAGGGATCAGTAATTCTGATAACGCATACTTTGTATTGCATACGCTAAGCAACAATACCGTAGCCTATCGGTTATGCTTAGAGGATATCGATCGGAATCGAGTCTCGATAGCGACGACGTGGTTCCAGTGTAGTGTGGCACAATAGAACTTCGATGAGGACTATTCGATTAGGTAGCACAGTTTGAGGTTAAAGACGTAAATAAGATTTAACGTTGCTATAAATACGAATTCATAATCAGTTCCCCCTTTTATCAGTTTCAGACATGTGTCTTTCTATGACGTCTCGGTCGTAAGATTTAAGTGCCTGGCTTAAGGCCAAGTACTTGTGGGCATTAGTGCCACGTGATTGCTTGGGGTCGTAGTCCCCGTAACCAGAACTAGAACCTTAAGCGGTTGTACATATACTTAGAGTCAATTCTTACCAAGTCTGTAAGACTTGAGAACCTAAAGTGGATACCAGTAGGTTCGATATACTAAGAGAATTTACGAGTGTGTAACTTTTCCTCTGAAAAGGAGTAGGGGTAGCTTCGCTACACTTAGTAATACTAGTACCCAATCTACACATGAGCTCTGTCAGAGACTGTTCCTCTGTAAGAATAGAAACAGAGTAAATTTTTCTGAGTCCCAAGGATTAGCAATAGGAAAACTCAGAGCCCTAGTCGGATACGATGAAGTAATTCAAACCTCGCACAAGGTCCTGACGCAATTCGTGCACGTCTTGACGCTTTTATACAGTTTAAATCCACTTTAATTGAATAAGTACACGACTATTTGGCATCAGCTATGTCTACGTGGTAGAATCCTGTACCTGATGAAGATCCAAGGGATCGCTTCCTTGTTTTGGATGTAAATTAATTCAAAGGGAAAGGAAGGGGAGAAGATTCTATTGTGGATCAGAGAGGTAGAAATGGAAATGAATTCCAATAATCTCCAGTCGGAAAAACAGCGGGTGGGGATGGCTATCCTAACAATAGGTGATAGAACCACAAAATGGGCTTTCACGTGTAACGTGTCGTTGTACGAAGCTTCCCCCACATAGAATTTGCTAATACAGCAAATATACCGAATGTTTGCTTCGCCTATCAGGCATACCGAATGCGTTCTTGTTTCTTATCTGCCCGTCAGGGCAAGAAAGAATTATCGGACTGTGTTCAGGAACTTAGAACTCTAATTGCTGCCATGTAGCTTAAAGTCTTACCAGAACTTGTTTTTAAGTACCATAAACATGAAGGGCCTTCGCATGATCGTGGCACAAGCGGAAGTATCCCGGGTATGCCCCACCTCCTTTGAGGTGGTTGTGGATATCACGTTAAAATCTGAGTTAAACACTAAGGCGGCCCGTATTGAAACCCATCGGTACAACCCAAACTTGTCGAACTCATTGAGTTCATTCAGTATGCCGGAGCCTGTAGACCTTAGTCTCACCGAGACGAACTAAAAGGCAGAGTTTCGAGCTGTTGAACAGCATTAAAACATACGACGATGATTTACGTGCGGAAGCATAGAGTATCTGCGACCTAATCGCTTTTTACGCAGGGCACTCCAGTTTACTTTAGGCCGAACCCCCGCCAGTAACTAGAAGTCTAATACAGTGAAAGAAAACATAGAGTCCCAGCAGGCGGGGGAGCGCCCTGATGAGGTAGAACCAGCCTTGTCGAGCCTCTAGGAGGTAGCTGTGAGCACAAGTTAGTCCCAAAGAGTCGTGTGCGCCCTAATACGGGGCGTGAAAACATGATAGGCTTGTTGGTCGCAAAAGCGACTGCCAGGAAATTTGGCAAACCCTGATCAATTTGATCGATTTCGGAGCATCCGGTGATGATTTGAGACTTTATTTACTTAAATGGATTCCACCTTATGTTGAGACACTATGAAGCGCGGGGGGTGATGTGATCATTGTTCGCTTGGCGACAGCAGCTCCAGTCACCGTAAATAAATGCCTGTGAGCTTAGGTGCAATTTATCATTTATTAGTATTTGACGATGTTTAGTCCTTAATTGTCATTCGGGATACATCCTTATTCTTGTTGTGACTTGGCTTAAGCGCCATGGGCCAGGGATGGCTGGAGGTAGCAGACATTAGGCGGCATGCGCACTGCCCCTAACGGAGCTTAGAAGAGTCATAAACTTAAATCTGCTAGAAAACAGAAGCGATGTTGGCGAGAGCCACCAGCTGGATATCAGTGTTCTGGACATCGAGATGTCAGAGTTATCTGATTCTGACGATGTCAAAGACACTAGCATAGAGCAAAGCTCGATATGTATAAGTGAAGCAGATAGTCCTTGTGAGATCATTGTGCTGATTGCTGAAAGCATTCTTGACCAAGCGTCAAGTCATCGAGGGTTAAAACCAACAGATGAGCGTGTGGTGGCAAGTGAGTAGCTACTGGATGACGTTGGCTGTGATAATGATGCGCTAAATGTCGATATTGACATTGTTGATGAAATGATAAGGCATCCCAAGACCGGTTCATCGGATGTACGTGAAGTGGCACGTAATCCATGTGATGATGACGTTATGTCAAATGACTCGTCATCGGATGTCAATAGTGACGTTGGATCAAGTTTATAAGCAATAAAGTTTGATGATGGTATCGATCGTAAATGTACGTGTCATATACCGTATTCCGTGTTACTAAGTAATAATGAGTATCATATGTATACACTCGTCAACGGTGTGACTGGTGCCTGTGATAATTTGATTAGCCTTGAGGCTATGCTCCGCTGAATTTGCTTTTATAAATCGTGAGTTGTCGGTCGATGGGTTCGATCACCCACAAAATAATAAAGACCTTTCAGAGGTGTTGTTCATTCTATCCGACGTCTAGACTAGAACCTATTTCGCTTTTGGAAGAAGTCGCTCTGAAGGACACAAAGCAGCACTCAGTGCTCGTAGTGGGTCATGAATGTTGGAAGACTCCCACGATCCCTTTTACTCCTTAGTTAAGATATGATGTGCTACGACATACCCTCTGTGCTGTCTCAAGATGGAGGTGTCCGTAATGAAAACTAACTAAGTTTCACGGATAAAAATTCTGTGTCACAAGACAGTGGCCCTTTCCTTAGGATAACGTGATATTGCTTACGACTTTGTGTTGAGCACGAGGCAGAATGGTACGTGAAAGCAAGTCTTCACATTCGACACCTATATTTTGTGTTAAGAAGCCGAACGGCAAGTGGCGCCTTGCGCACGCTTATAATAATCTTAATGCAGCAACTGTTCCGGCACAGACACCCATTCCTCGAAATGATGCTCCTTTATAACCACGTGGTTGTTTGTAATATGTATAGCGCACTTGACTTGGTCGATAGGTGTTATTAATTGCTCATGGGGGAGCGAGTACTATTCTGCTTACAGCAGTGAGTGCTATGAGTGGTGCAGTTAAGTGGCGATCGCTGATTTTATGAGGCGACTTCGACTCTCCACTAATGCCCAAATGACCGATAATTGGAGGGGGTACTTGTCTTCAGTGCCTTGTATTCCTTCATCACCTTGTGTACCCCCAGGTAGAGTGGACTACGCTCTTCTCGGTAGGCTTGTGTCAAGAGAAAACTTAACCGTTTTGGGATTAGGGTTTGTAATCGCGCGATAATCTTTACATGATCACGGATAAACTTGTAGGTTACTTGATGTAAGTTACCTAGTGCTAAACGAGATCGCCTTGTTTACTAAGTAAATTCTTGATACGCGAGCTTTCTGACCACTCGAGCCATCTCGCGGCCTGGTTTTTTTTTCCTTTGCGTTCTTGCTGCAATCAATACCAATAAGAAGGAATTGAATTTTAAAGATTCTTAGCCATTTTTCTATGTATACCACAACTTTAAGCATAGCCTATTTTCTTGACGTCGGGAGGCCGATTTGCCAGCCCGGAAAAGAACTCAACACGTGTACATTAAAGCAAATTAGATTCTGTTTACAGTCAACCGAACTATGGCGAATGCTATGAATTTTCCTATCCATTAGCCATCTTAAGCTGCCACGAATCCTCTACATACCGTTGATCGTTCCTTTACGTACGTGGTCCAGCTCAGATAGATCATCGAAATCCTTGACCGATCGTTGATCTCCTTCATATATCTTCGATCACTCTCTAGAACCGTGGTTTTTGCCGACTTGTCGGTCATCTTCCCGGTTTAGTACACTTCACGCGTTCCCATCTCGGTGTCCTGACTCGATCTTGGCAACTTGTTATTCGATCCCGTTGCCTTAATCATCGATCGCAGTATTGCTATATTCAATCTCGGTATCGTGCTATTTATCTTAATATTGCGATATTCGGTCTTGGTATTGCGCAGCTTAACAGCCAACAGATCTTTTCCAGCGATTTTTTGCGGTTTGAGATCACTATTTCCCACTATTGCCTCTGATTGCTTCGATATGCTTTATCACAGTGGTAGAGCGCCTTCTTCGCATACGGGAGGTAGGAGGATCGAAAAGTCCAGTGTCCACTCCTTAGCAAGTGCTCACATCTGGACGCTTTGTATGGTATAGGAATGGCTGGTAATGCCAAAAGGGATATCTAATGCTCCAGCAACAAATAATTATATGGTGATGCAACTTTTCCGCCCTCGTCGCGATACGCACAAATGCGCTTTTACGAAATTTTTGTTTTAAACGCTTTGCCGGGAGAGGGCGAGCAAGTATGAAAATCATACCGATCATGTGTGAGACGTGCTCTAGTGCATGTACGCTTTTTCATTGCACTCAAACGCGTCTAAATGCTTTTTTGGCTGAGAAAATTCATTTTTAGGACGTTTTATTGGTAAGTGCGGCGTTATATCCCGCTAGTTTTAAGGCGATAGTGTATTGCCTGAGTTTTTAGAACTTAAACTTCCGTAATTGGCTTGGCCTTGCCAGCTACTCACACAAATATAGTGGACATAACGCT